ACCTCCAACCGCGCATTAACTCTGTCCCGCGTCTCATCAATCAGTACTATGTCATCCGCAAATAACATACACCATGGGACCTCCTCCTGAATAGACCGCGTTAACTCGTCCATCACCAAAGCAAATAGGAAAGGGCTTAGGACTGATCCCTGATGCAGCCCCATCTCAACTGGGAAATGATCTGAGTCTCCTCCAATTGTTCTAACCCGAGTCTTGGCTCCACCGTACATGTCCTTTATCGCCCTAATATAAATCATCGGGACTCCTTTAGACTCCAAGCACCTCCAGAGGACATTCCTCGGTACTTTGTCATAGGCCTTTTCAAGGTCAATGAACACCATATGTAGGTCTCTCTTCCTTTCTCTATATTTTTCTACCAGTCTACGCATAAGATGAATGGCTTCGGTAGTCGAACGTCCCGGCATGAATCCAAACTGATTCTCAGAGATGGACACCCCTCTTCTCACCCTCATCTCCACCACTCTCTCCCAAATCTTCATAGTATGACTCAACAATTTAATACCCCTGTAGTTGTTACAGTTTTGGATATCACCCTTGTTTTTATACAACGGGACCATTGTACTCCACCTCCATTCTTCAGGCATTTTTGCTGTCTTAAAGATAACATTAAACAGCCCAGTTAACCACTCTATGCCTGCCTTGTCCATGTTCTTCCAAAATTCTACCGGAATCTCATCGGGTCCGGTCGCTCTTCCCCTACTCATCCTACTAATAGCCCGTATAACCTCCTCGGGCGTAACGCACCTACAGTATCCAAAATCCCGAAGTCTTTCAGAGTGTGCCAAATCACCCAACACAATGTCCGCTTCCCCTTTTTCATTTAAAAGTTTGTGAAAGTAGCTTCGCCATCTTTGCTTGATAGAGGTCTCTTCCACCAGTATTTTGCCTTCCTCATCTTTGATACACTTCACTTGGTCCAAGTCGCGCGCCTTCCTCTCTCTTGCTTTTGCGAGCCTATACAACTTCTTATCCCCACCTTTGTCCCCCAACTCGACATACAAGCGTTCGAAAGCTGCCGTCTTCGCCTTCGAAACAGCTAACTTAGCTTCTGTCTTTGTCGTCTTATAGGCTTTCTTAAGCGTCCGCTTCTCTTCCTCGTCTACGCACTCCGCCAATTTTGTGTATGCAGCCTTCTTCGCTTCCACTTTACCTTGGACTTCCCCATTCCACCACCAATCTCCTTTATGTCCTCCGAATTTACCCCTAGACACCCCTAGCATCTTAGAAGCAACTTCCCTAATGCAACTAGCTGCTTTATTCCACATGTTGTCCGCATCCCCGCTACCACTCCATGCCCCCATCCCCATCAGCTCCTCACCCATCTCCCGAGAAAGGGCAGGGGTCAACCCACCCCATTTAATCCTCGGTCGGTCAGATAACATCTTCTTCCTCCTATCCCTCTTAATCTTCAGGTCCAACACCAAAAGCTTGTGTTGGGTAGTGAGGTTTTCACTTGGGATAACCTTGCAGTCCTTAAATAGACCTCTATCACCCCTCCTAAGGAGAAAGTAATCTATCTGGGTCTTAGCTACCGGGCTACGAAAGGTAACCAAGTGGTTCTCCTTCTTCGGAAAGCATGAGTTAGCAATCACCAACTCAAAAGCCTTAGCAAAGTCTAGAAGCGAAGTTCCACCTCCATTTCTCTCCCCAAAACCAAAGCCTCCATGAACATCATCAAATCCACTAGCAGTTGCCCCGATGTGGCCATTAAAATCTCCACCAATGACAATCTTCTCGGTATTCGGTATACCTCTAACTACCTCATCCAAATCCTCATAAAAGCGCTTTTTGGCCTCCTCGTCCAAGCCCACTTGGGGAGCATAAGCACTAATAACACTCAAAGTACATCCTCCAATGACCAGCTTAATCGTCATCAGCCTATCACTGATCCTCCTAACCTCCACCACTTGCTCCCTCAAATCCCCGTCTACTAAAATACCCACTCCATTTCTATCCCTAGACCCTCCTGAATACCACAACTTAAACCCATCAACCTCCCGAGCCTTGGCGCCTACCCATCTAGTCTCTTGGACACAGGCTATATTAATCTTTCTCTTCTTGAGAATTTTCACTAGCTCTATGGACTTCCCCGTCAACGAACCTATGTTCCAAGATCCTACCCTCACGTTATGAGAACCCGTAACCCACTTACCACTATTACCCCTCGACCTCGGCCTCAACCGAGGACATGACTCACTACCACCATCAGATACCAGATCCACTAGAACGTTACTGCAATCACAGCAAGATCTACACAGACAAACACTACAAACTGCAGCAGTAATACACTCTAAGGAACAATATAACAGCAGCTACACTATAGTGTCCAGAACAGTGTGTAATCCAAAGAGCACAATAACACCCACTCTATTAAAAACTGAAGCACAGGTCAGAACTTTATTAAAAAAACTGGGAATACTGTTCCGGGATAAGGAGTCTGCAAGACAGAGCCCAGCAGCAACTAGGTTCAGCGAAAAAGAGAGAGAAAAGGATAGATAGAACCTGGTCAGTGAAGATAGAGGGTTTCGGTGATCAATGGGTAATTTCCGGCCAGATCTGGTTGATCTCCGGCGGCAAACAGTAGCACTGCCGTCTCTCTTCTGAGCTGGTCGCCGGAGAAGATAGATGAGTTCGCCGGAGAAGCTGAAAAATGCTCTTACCTTCGCCGGAGTTTGCTGTTCGCCGCTCGCTGGTCCGAGCCGCTGGAGCTGCTACTCGTCGTTATCGTCCTCACTGAAGCTTAGGAGGAGAGAGAGAAAGAGGCTCGCCGGTCGGATCTGTTCCTCGCGTTGCTTCTGGCCGGCGCAACCTTCGATTTCGGCCGAGAATACCAGAGAAGGAGAGAGAGAGAGAGAGAGAGAGAGCGAAGCCTCAATTTATCGAATCTGAAATTACTACTATATACAAGGAAGGATATTCAATTTTGTAGTCCGCACATGAATTTTCTTGTAAAACCTCGCATATTTGATATATTTTAAGAACTTTAAAAACTTTTTATATGCTACTAAAAATGATGTTGTCATGAAAAATATATTAATGATCCTACAAAGTACATTCATGTATTGAGTTTTATTTTATATGAAAATATTACTAAACTTGTTTCAAATAATATTTTACCTTGAGACTTTATTGTAAGTATAAACTTAATGTACAGTCACAATTTAGACAAGATAATTTACTGAGAGGCGTTATAGAAATATACATGAAGACATTATCGTGAAGAATGACTTCTATGCCTCCTTATTCTAGTCGTAATCATAATTGTCAGCGGCGAAAAAGTGTAGAGAATTATACAATAACCCTAGTGAGTGGAAGAAAAACCAATTTATAAAGGCATACCTCAACTCATATTTATGCTCTCTAACTTTGGATGTGCACAAGTAGACATTTAAACTTGTACAAAGTTGAACAAGTAAACACATGAGTCCAACATGACATAATACATGTAAGAAGAGTATGTCTATTTGTTCAACTTTATAGAAGTTTAAGTATTTATTACTTGTACATAACCAAAGTTTGAGGGCATAAATTTGAGTTGAGGCTAAGTTAAAAGGCATATTTATGTATCAATTATGCCTTTATACATTGGTCCTCCTTCGACTCACTAGGGTTATCATATAATTCTCTACATTTTTTTGCCACCGACAATTGTGATAACGTAAGATTAGGACAAGGAGGCGTAAAAATCACTCTCCACGATAATGTCTTCAGGTAATCTATAACGCCTCTCGGTAAATTATCTTGTCTAAGATCCTGATGTGCATTTTAAGTTTATGCTTACAATAAAGTCTTAAGGTAAAATATTATTTGAAACAACCTTAGTAATATTTTCATATAAAATAAAAACTCAATGTGTGAATGAACTTTGTAGGATCATTAACCCATCGGTGACTCCCTAAAGTTTGTTAGAATTTTCACTTAGACACCTTAACTAAACATTTTTCATTTTAGACACTTAATGTCATGTCCCGCTGAGTCATGTTGACACTTTTTTCACAATTTTGTGTTGACCCTACGCGTGTGTTGACCAAACATATCCACATGGATTAAATGGCCAATTATGTCATGCTAACTCATTTTAAAGCCATGTCATTATACACACAAAAATAAATTAAAGAAAAAAATAATTAACGGTCAAATAAAAAGGGTTGTGATCAATTAAAAATAAATTATTTTGATGATTTCCCTTCTCACCCCGATCATCTTCTCCATCAAGTAACACTTGTTCGTCCTCACTGTTTAAGTGTCTTTATTTTTCATTTTTGGCTTGTCACAAGTGGCTCTTTCTATATTTAACAAGTCGTCAATTCAAATATCTTATATAACAAATTTAAAATCACAAGAAATTAAAAGACATTTTAGAAAGACATACTCATTTTGTAACTTCTTTAATACAAACTACCATACAATTCAAATATCTATTTTTATTCCTTAAATTTTGTGTCCAATCAAAATGAAAAAACATTTGATTAGAACGGATGAAAATATAAAATAACAATTTCCCTTGCTACAACCTCCATACAAGAAACTAAAAAATAGAATAATAAGATAAATTAATTTATCTAAGTTCTAATTTAGAATGCTCAAATTCTTAATTGTAGCTGTGGCGAGTTATTTCTATTTTATAGTAGAGTGGTAAGCGACAAATAAAATATAAGATAGCGGCTGCAAGAGTCAAATGCCGGCTCTACGCCGCCAAATTTCTACCCTCTCAACGGTTAACTTGAACAAAACGATCAACAGCTTCATTGGTAACGGAAACCTCCAAGAAGCTCGGAAGCTCTTCGATCAAAGCCCCCACTTGACAAATGTCGTATCATGGAATTCCCTTATCGCTGGTTACTTCAAACACAATCTCATCCAACAAGCAGAGTACCTGTTTGACAAAATGCCTCACAGAGATGTCGTTTCTTGGAACACCATGCTCTCCGGATATCGCAACGCCAACAACCCAGAGAAAGTATATAGATGTTTTTAGATATGAACAGATGTGGAGAAATGAGACCCAATGAGCTCACTTTTGCAGTGTCAATTAGCTCCTTCTTATATTTAGATTACAAGCATTTGATCCCTCAGCTTCAAGGTCTCGTGCTCTGTTTGGGGATAAGTCTCAATGTCTTTGTAGGGTCAGCATTGATGAGGGGTTATGTTGATTTGGATGATTACAGAGGTTTAGCTCGAGTTTTTGATGAGATTTTGGATAAAGATGTTACGCCGTGGAATGTGTTGATTTTGGGTTATATGAAATTTGGGTGCACAAGTGAGGCGCAGAGGGCTTTTGATATGATGCCTATGAGAAATTATTTTACTTGGAGTACTTTGATCAATGGATATATTGAGAACAAGAAGCTTAATGAAGCTCGATTCATTTTTGATAAGATGAGTGAGAAAGATGTGGTTTCTTGGACAGCAATGATAAGAGGGTATGCGCAGTATGGAGAGTTTATGAAGGCTTTGAAATTATTTAAGTTGATGTTGAACTTGGGTTCTCGTCCTAATCATTTTACGTTTTCAACTGTTTTAGATGCTTGCGCAGGCTACTCTGCTGTTCTGGTAGGCAATCAAGTTCATGCGTGCATCTTGAAGTCTGGTTTCCCTCTTGATGTCATCTTGTTGACCTCCCTTCTTGACATGTACGGTAAATGTGGAGACATTGAAGTTGCTTTCTGCATTTTTGAGTCAATCCCGGCAAGGAATTTGGTAGCCTGGAATTCGATCATTGGAGGTTTTGCAAGACATGGGCTTGCAGAGAGGGCAATGCAGGAGTTTGAGAGGATGCTAAAGAGTGGTATCAGGCCTGATGAAATTACTTTTATTAATTTGGTATATGCATGTGGCCATGGTGGGCTAGTCGAGGAAGGTGAGAGAATTTTCAATTCTATGGTAACAGAGTACGGATTGAAAGCAGAGATGGAACACTATGCATGTATGGTGGACTTGTATGGAAGGGCAGGTCAGCTTGAGAAAGCAGAAAAACTAATCGATGGGATGCCTTTTAAGCCTGATGTGGTCGTCTGGGGGGCATTGCTAGGAGCATGTGGCTTGCACTCATGTCTAGAGCTCGGAGAGATTGCAGCAAATGGAATCTACACATTGGAGCACGACCATCCTGCAGTATACTCGGTGCTTTCCAAAATCTATGGAGACAAAGGAGTGTGCAGTGACATAACTGGTTTGGATAAGTTGATGAAGAAATGG